AACATTTACTTTTATTTATATATATATATATATATATATATATATATATATATATGTACATATATTGTACAAAATGTATATATGTATGTTATAGGTCTATATAATTTATATATTATATGGACATTATTCAAATACCTAGACATTTGATAAAAGCAAAGAGATTTACAATTGTACAGTAAGTATAGTCGATTTTTAACCCCTTGTTTTTTCAACTTTCAGCTTCCTGAAATAGGGAAGTGTAAAGACGATTCAGAATGTATAAATAAAGACCGGATAGGGCACGGTAAGTTATGGCTAAGTCACGTGATCAGTGGCTATCTAAGAGTCTTAGAATGGAGCACCCCTAGATACGCCACTATAGGCGCTAGACGTTTCATATGCATTAAAACTGTGCAAAAAGGATAATTATTCGAAACGTTTAATTATTTGATTTAGTAGATCCATTCCTGAACCTTGGTCCGAAGCTAGGCCTGTTGTTTAGGCTTTCAATTGAAGGAGCTTTTCAGATGTCATTGTATAATGACGGCTGAAAAGCTTGCTTCACTGTAATAACAGCGTAGAAAGTTTACACAAGGTTCCCACTTGTCCTACTTTTGTTGACACGTTTAAGAGCTAAACATGTTTAGGGATAGGATCATGATCTTGACATGTTTAGCATTTAATGTATTAAACACTCATAGCTTTTAAACGTGTCACCACAAGTGAAGCAACATTGCGTTTGACTTTTGGTGATACGTTTAAGAGGTAAACGTGTTTAGGGATAGGATCAAGATCTTAACGTGTTTACCAGTGAATGTATTAAACACGCATAGCTTTAAACACCACACATCCTGACAAACAAATTGACGAAGAGATCGCCACCTTGAACTTTACTGGTCTTCAGGTGTATGTTCCTTAACACTTCCTGCCCCTGGCACAGCATTATCCAGCATAACAATAAATTTTACATAGTCCAGAAGAAAGGGGCTTTGTTATATTTTCGTTTTTTCTGTTCTGTACTGATGATGGTGTTGTCAATCCGAATTGTGTCTTCAATTGGTGTGGTGTTCTTTTATCATGGATTTCAGTTCAAGAAATATACTTAATTCTTTGTTAAGGAAAACTGAGAAAAAAATAATTATATTCGTTTACACAAAGCTTTGATTATAATTTTATTTACAATTGCAAAACATTCGGATGTTTCTCTAAGTTTTATCAATCATGTATTAATGTTTCAGGTGAATATACTGGAAGGTGTGTTATGTATAATATAAAAACAAATGAAACTGCGTGCGAAATATTCTCGTGGTGTCCTGTTGAAAACGATACTTCACCAAGGTTAGTGAGGCCCGTTTTTTTTTTGTTTTTTTTGTTTTTTATAGTACAGTAGTAGTAATTAATTAGAGATTATCACTTGACATTTCGGTGGCGTAGTTCTGCCTTCGGCGTTGTGAGTTCTGTAGGTGATATTGAAAATATGTATTTATACATTTATAACATACGTCAAAGTTTACGAAGTAATTCAAAAAGTAAGAAATGAACTCAGTAATAATAACTTTATTGAACCATACACTTTAGTGGCACACACTATCAAGTGGTGCGTTCACAATAAAATATTAAAGGAACACAGAATATTCGTACATTAAGACACAGAATAGTTAAAAAACATACAATACATAAAATACAGTAACATGACCATTTTTTAAGTTGAACATTAAAAGCAGCATTAAAAAAATTACTAATTATGGCAGAGAAAATGTAAAATATTTGTTAAAAAGACCAATATGCAAACCGGTAATAAAGAGAATGATTATTGTCTTTTAAACCAATAAAGATTAGGCCTAAAACAAGTTAATGTTTTGAATTAGGCAATATAATAAAAGAATGTTAAAATAGATAAAATATAAAATATAAAATTGATTAGAATTACTTTATCTATACATTCGCTAAAAGTTCACATCTCTCTTTCCATGCTCTTTTTAAAGAGGACTTATAAGCCATATTAAAAATATTATTGGTTGTTTCATTTTGTTCATATTCTACATAGGTATATATATATATATATATATATATATATATTCAGTGTAAGTAAAAAACAATATTCTTAAAATTCAAATTAAAAATATCTTTATTGGCAACCAAAGTAAACATTAATTGAATTATACATAAAAAAAAATAAAAAGCAGAAATAGGAAATTTACTGAATCAATTATTAAATTATATACATTAGAATAGAATTTCATCATTCATTAAAATTGGTAAATTTACACTAACAAAAAAAATTCAAAAAAACACAATTTGATAGTCTGGACAGAGCTTTATGATGTTGTTTTCTTTTCGGTACAGGAAGATGTGTATAAGAGACAGTATATATACAACTTCACAACAAGAAAATAACATAAAAACGTGAAAAATTACAATCAAACACAAACACATCAAATCCAACACCAAAAATAAATCAAGGGACAAAGAAAAGAAAAATCCCATCAAAAACAGATAAAAAACATAACAAACAGAACAAATCAACAGGTCAACATATCGCTTAGAAGTGCTGAGTACTAGTAGTGATCTTCGTTCAAAAACCATCTACCAATTATGAAACACCCCATATTTGATAATATTTTTTTTATTCCTCTCGGTTTTAACCTTTGGTAATCTAAATTGATTTTGTCTCCTTAAATTATATTGATGACTAGGGGTAATGGAAGGAGATGGTTTAAACGGTGCTCACTCTTCTTGACCTTTCGGAAATAGTTCCTACAAAGAGAAAGTAAGCGTTCATTCAGTAGAGCGAGTCTAAATGGAATAAGAGCAGTACGGTACTATATGTTAAATTAGAATATATCTCACCGCCAGCTTTTGAATGTTTATTTCTATAGAATTTTGTTGCTGAAGACTAAATCCTGTAAACCAGTGGCATAATCAATCACAGATCGGATAATACTACAGTAGGAATGACAAAGGGTATTCCTATTAAGTCCTATTATTTAATATATATTTTTATGTTTTAAAAATATATATTATATTAAAAATAAAATAACAAGAACAAACTTCGAATGGACCTGCCACAGCATCGAGGCGCTTATTACCATCGTTTTACTAGGTACTCAACTTTAAAAATAATGATGGGAGACAAATTCTAGCGCCACGTGTGATCGAGATCACCACGTATGCTGTAAAATGTTCTTAGTCTGAAAAAAGTAGAGTGAAAGGCTACTTGTACTTGCCTTCTTGACATCTGCCCACTGGACAATTCCACCGGACATTTTCCCTCAGTATTTTTCCAATTTGACTGTTCCCTTTCTCCCCTTCCCCCACCCCTCCTTTCCTTGTGTCATTTTCCCCTGGAATTTTTCTCCAGGACAATAGCACTGGACATTTCCCCCATGCATTATATAATAATTTTTAAATATAGATAGAGTAGATTACATTGGAGACATGGCTCATAATACCTCCCTCTAGGTAACTATTTATTTTTTTAGTTATTATAAAGTAAATTTTGGCGTGCGAAATACCTTACGGGCATAAAAACCAAAACACGCACGACAGTTGGGTATTCCAAAATGCACTCTATACGTTATTAAGAACTTTGATTTCCGTTACAAATCTCCAGTGCGATATTATAATCAGAAAAGAGGCTTTTTAAATGTATATGCCTTCTTGTAGTTTTAATTGTGCATGTTTAGGTGCATGGTTAACGTATGTTTACAAAAAAAACCAACTATGACGATGATGATGAGGATGATGATGATGATGATGATGATGATGATTATGATGATGATGATGATGATGATGATGATGATGATGATGAAATGAAGATGATGATGATGATGATGATGAGAAAAACGATGTGAATGGCAATGGCGATCAAACGAATATAATAATAATAATAATAATAATAATAATAATATTGTTATTATCATTATTATTATTATTATTATTATTATTATTATTATTATTATCATGATCGTTATTATTATTATTAGAAACAGAAATATAAATAAAATTTAAATTCTGCACCATGTCATCAGCTTTATGGGTATTTTCTTTCAATAATAATTCATTAAGCTTTGTCTAATTGCATTGATTTACTTAACGTATACTTTCTGAACATCATATATGCTGTTACCGGTAGGCTACTGTTTCTACTCTTAAGCCCTATCCAGACTATCAAACTGTATTTGACAAGAGCATGTGACATGCCTAAATATGGTCATGATGACATCACACCATGACCATATATAGGCACATCATGACTATATGGGCATACAACAACAATTTTTATCAAACACAATTTGATAGTCTGGACAGAGCTTTATGATGTTGTTTTCTTTTCGGTACAGGACAGATAATCCCGTTATACCAGATGCAGAGAACTTTACTGTACTTATACGTAATAGCATCGCTTTTCCCAGGTTCAACTTTAAAAAGTAAGAAAAATACTATTAGAATTTACTCATTACAATGAGATGTCTTAATAGCAACTCCTTAAAAAATAAAATGACTGATAGTCCTGCTTTGCATATTGATATCTTAAACTGATGCATGCCATATCGAGTGAAAGTCATCATCCTCTAGTTTAACGGCCAGAAGACACTTTGAATCACGGGATTGAAAGATTTGGTTGTTTCATTCATTCACAACGATAACGGATCCTGAAAGAAATGCAATTTAAGAGATGTCTCTGCAGTAATCATTGTAAGCTACATCTAGACACGATTACGACACGACAACGACATATCTGAGTAGTTTGTATTCTTTTTAACACTGCACGCATCTGTATTGTGTCGTTGTCGTGTCTTAATCGTGTCAATTGTAAATGTAGCTTTATACAGTAGATTGTCCGGCTATCTAACATGTTCTCGGTAATAATAATAATACGGTACGTGTAATTTCCGACAGTCATGTAAATTTTAATGACATAAAAATAAGTTACCTAATGTTTATAATTAATTTTCGGAATGTCAATCAAACTTATTACCCGACCAATTAGAACAGGGCCAGGAAACACGTGTTGTCCAACAAACGCAACGTGTTTACCTATATGCTTACACTATCGTTTTAGTGGGCCTTAGCAACGTGTTTACCTATATGCTTACACTATCGTTTTAGTGGGCCTTAGCAACAACTAAAAAAAAATCTAGGACAGAGTCTTTACCGAATCTGCCAGTTCGTCTTGGTATAACCCCAAGCAATGGTAATTTAATTAAAACAACAAATAATATAGAATGTATTCTCTTTATCATTGTATTGCAGAAGAAATATCTTAAAAGACGACTTTAAATGTTCTTATGATCCACTGAAATCTAGATTTTGTCCAATATTCAGAATTGGCAAAATACTTAATATAACAGGACACCCATACAATACCGTGGCAAAAGGGGTAAGATATCTTTTTCGAATTAAAATAG